ATACCAGGAGGCTGCTGGGTGCGTGCCACGGGAGCTCCACAGTCTCTAGCCCCCAGTCCCTAGCCCTGTCCACGAAGAGCCCCACAGGACCTGACCTTCCAGGCCCATTCTGCTCCCAGCCTAGGCTTCCCTCAAGGAAGCAGCTTTATGGGAGGGGGATAGAAAGGCCTGTATCCCTGCTCAGTCACAACTTGCCCATCATCTCTATCCTGCATGTGTCCATATGGCCAAATTTTCCTCATGGACAGAGGTCCTTCCCCCTCCTTCCAGATCTCCACTCCCTGGGAACTTTAATTAATTTTTTATTTTATTTTTGAGGGAAGGTTTCTACGTGTAGCTTTGGAGCCTGTCCTGGAACTTGCTCTGTAGACCAGGCTGGTCTCCAACTCACAGAGATCCCCCTGCCTCTACCTCCTGTGTGCTGGGGTTAAAGGCGGCACTGCTGCCTGGCTTCCTGGGAACCTTTATGTAAGCCCCTTGCTATCCAGCGAGGTTCAGAATGATGGCCACAGTGTCAGGACCCCTCACCCCACCGATAAAGTCTTGCTGCCCAATGCTAGACAACACATTCCATCAACAGATAAAGAGAAGTGGGACCAGGCAGACTTGGGTTCAGTTCTATGCTACCAGGACCAAGCTCCTTCCTCCCCAGCCCCAGGGCTCTGTGTCCATCTCAGCTCCAAGTCTGAGAATGCACAAAGCCCCAGAGGCCCATGCTGGCTCAGCACTGAGAATTCAAATTTTCCTGTCTCTAGGGCCAGCAAAGGAACATAACCACCTTTACCCTGGTTTCTGGCTAAGGGTAGCATCTCAGTCACCTGCCTGCACCCCCAGAACTACCCAGAGTCCCTTCTCAGGGTACCCGGTCTCCAAAAAGGGCTTAACTTTCCTGCTCCCGTTCCTACCCTCACTAGCAAGCCCACAGGAGCAGTGAGGGAGGCTCTCAGAGGCCTCTGCCTACCAGACAGAGCCTCCCAGGCTTGGTTCTGGGGCCACACATTCCCTCCAAAACCCCCACCATTTCTTGGTGCCCACAGTACCTCCAGGGCTCCAATCTGCAGCAACCAAGGCAGCTGGCTGTGGTGAGCTCACAGAGCCTCCCGCCTGCCCGCCCTGGGTGGAGGAACCTGTTTTCCAGGTTTGCAGTCCTGTTGAGGGGCCTCCTGCCTAAGGCAGGCCCCACCCTAACAGTCACATCCTTGTATAGGAGCTACACCTGGGCGGGTTGTTACCCAGTCCCTCTGCCCCTCGACAGTGAAAACGGGGGTACAATGGAAAATTTAAAGAGCCCCAGGACTCACCCCTGCTCCAAGCCCCAGGTGGTGAGGCAGGCCTCCTAGAACCCATCAGACTAGGGTAAACTTTTCCTCTCCATTCCGGCAGAGAAAGCATTGTCTAGCCCCTCATCTAGTTCTCAGGGGGCCAGCTGACCAGTGTCCAGTGACCAGAAGTCCAGTGAAGGTCTCAAAGCAGGTGTGGACCCAATAGTACAATCTGCTAGATCGGGCAGAGAAATGGGCTTACTGCGCTTTTCCTTGCTTCCTGCTTTGCCACTGTCTTCCCGAGTGGCAGCTGTGTGGCAAGCCCCGGACAGGTTCAATGTCTACATCAACCACTAAAACAGTAAATCCCTGCTGGGGGCAGAGGCAAGAGTTCCCGAGGAATCAAACAGACCCAGGCAAAGGGCAGCTTCTGTGCGCTGGCTTACCATCTCATTTACCAGTCTACTAGGTGGTATTGGGAAGGAAAACCCGCGGTTGGGGTGGGGGGGACACAGAGCAGAGGCAATAGGGACCTGCTGAGCGTCCCCTCCCAGTTCCCTGGCTTCCAGTCCTGGCCTCCCTACCAACAGAACTATGGTATTAATGAGCAGATAGGGCTGGGTACAGAACTCAGTGGATAATGTGCTTGTTGTCCCAGCATGAGGACCACAGTTCAGATCCCAGAGATCACCTGAGTGAGATGGACCGCCTGTAATTTCAGCCTTGTAAGGCGGACACTGGGGATCCCCAGAGCAAGTTAGCTAAGAAGACCAACCATATGGGCATATTCTGGGTTTGACTGAAAGACCCTGTTCCGATGAATAAAGCGGATGAGCAATCCAGGACAACACCACATATCACCCTCACACCACCACACACACACACACATACACCACATATACCCGCACATGTGCGAACATGCATACACACATATGCATATAACACACACAATAAATTTAATTATTTAATAAAATTAGAAAACAAAGTGGCCAGAGCTAGTATTCCTCACAAAGAACATTAGGCAGGACAATAAAATACCCAGCGTATGAAGAATATAGAAGCAGTTGTTGAGAGGCAAAAGTGTGACGACTGCTTCCAGGATGATTAACCTTTGCCCCAGAAGCTCCTGTGTCAGAGATGCAGGGTTTCATCCTGTCCCGGATCTTCTGCCCACCTGCATCTCTATGTGCGCCAGACAATCCATGTGCTCAGTACTAGCATGGTGGGCTCTCAATAAACACCTGCCAATTGCCATGATCATTCCTGACCCACAGGCCAGAAAGCTGAGACCCACCAAATGAAGGACTGTGCAGGACACACCTTGTCCCTTTCCGATGGCACAGGGCTATTGAGGGTCCCAAGGGAGGCAGTCAACGGCCAACCCAGAGATGCTCTGTTGCAGGGTCCCCAGGGAACCCCACTACAATTGATAACAGGGAATAACACTTAGCTCACAGATTGGGGAGGCCCTCAAGGAGCCCAGGAGGCAGGAATGGGAAAGCCACAGCCAGGGCTAGGCCTGTCAACCACCATGACCCACACCTCTGGTGCCTTCCCTGAAGTCCTCAGGAGCCTGGCCTTCCTGTCCCCCCTCTTTGGAACAGAGGGGAAAGTTTAGAAGGGAGTTAATCACAGGATCAGGCCCAGGACCCCTTTGCCTCAGGAAAGAGTGGTCAAAGGCCGGTGACCAGCGGCATAGCCCTATCCCTCAGCAAGAATTCTCGCTCTGCCACCAGCTCAGAGCCCCGGAACCCCGGAACACTGAAAAGCAAAGAGAGACTCCAGGCCAGACAGTCACCTGGGAACTCGGAGAACTGATTTACAATGAGGTCACTCCTCATCCTGCCCACTCACTTTCTCTCTTGTTTTCCAACACGTGCAGGATTTATAGTATTATTTTTATTTTATTTTATTACTTTAAAAAATACCAATCCAAATTCCCACTCCCTCCCCTCCTCCCACTCCACTCCCACTCCCTCCACACACCCTCCCCCCCCCCCCCCCTCCATTCCTAAGAGAGGGCAAGGCACCTTGCCCTGTGGAAAGTCCAAGGCCCTCCCTACTACATCTAGGTTGAGCAAGGTATACATTCAAAGAGAATAGGATCCCAAAAAGCCAGTACATGCAGTAGAGACAAATCCCAGTGTCACTGTCATTGGCTCCTCAATCTGCCCCAACTATTAATCACATTCAGAGGGACTAGTTTGATCCCAAGCTCATTCACTCCCAGTCTAGTTGGAGTTGGTGAGCTCCCATTGGCTCAGGCAAACTGTCTCAGTGGGTGAGCCCCTCATGGCCTTGACTTCCTTGCTCATACTCTCACTCCTTCCACTCTCAGTCCAGTGCTCTGATGAGGTTCTCTGCCTCTGTTTCCATCTGTTGTTGGATGAAGGTTCTATGGTGATATTTAAGTATCATAAGTCTGACTACAGGGCAAGGCCAGTTCAGGTCCCCACTCCTCTATTGCTGGAGTCATCCTTGTGGATTCCTGGGAATTTTTCTAGAGCCAGGTTTCTTGCTAACCCCATAATGGCTCCCTCAATCAAGATATCTCTTTCCTTGCTCTCATATCTGTCCTTCCTCCATCTCGACTATCCCATTCCCTCAAGTTCTCCTCAACCCTCCTCTTCTCCCCTTCCTTCTCACTATCCCCCCTACCCCCATGCTCCCAAATTTTGTCTGTTTTCAATTTAAAGGTGGGTCTATATATGTTTTTCTTTGGGTTTACCTTATTACTTAGCTTCTCTAGGATCATGAACTATAACCTCAATGTTCTTTGCTTATGGCTAGTATCCACTTACTAGTACATACCATATCCATTTTGGGGGCCCGTGCAGGATTTCTTTGGGCTACTAGTCCCCAGCTGCCCAAGCTAGTAGAATAGATGGGCTGATGGCACCACCTGCTGGTCATCCTGTGGTTTGTCCCTTAAGAAGAACCTTTGAACCCTTGAGAGAAGGGGTCGAGGAGTGCCTTATATCCACAACCTACAAGGAGGAACCTGAGGGTCAAGACACCGGTCAACAGCGGAGGCAAGGTCTGTGGCTAGGATTTGAGCTTATGGAGAGAGACACTTAAGCGCCCCCTTGGAATGAATCACGGCCTTGCTCCCCGTGATCGAGAGAAGAGAATCCAGGAAATGCAGTCCGGTAAAAGGAGTAGTCCTTGAGGGGACATTAGGAGCAGGCCATTCCTCATAGTTATGCTAGAGCCGAACTTCTGAATTTGAAGAGAAAAAAGTTTCCGAGAGACACATGCAGCCTTGGGCTTTCAAAGAACCGGCATTTCAAGCTGTTATATTTGATTTGGCGAGAAGCTTGTGCCTCTGCTTGAGACGTGACTACCTTCTGGCCGCGGTCAAAGGTACTGTCCGGGGCTGCCCAATCCAAGCCGAGGCAGCCGGAAAAACTCCAAAACAGAACTGGGGAGACCGCATGACTATCCTAAAGGGTCCCAGTGACATGTACCTCCTGCCAAAAAACTAAACCTGAATCAAGCCTGCGAAGCAGAGCTATCTCAGGGTCCTGCCCGCCAAGAATCAAGACTACGTGGCTCCGCCCTCCAGGCACAGACTCCGCCCCCTCTCCTGCGTGGCCCCACCCCTCCTTCGTGGCCCTGCTCACAGCCCAGCCTCCACGTAGCTCCGCCCTTAGATCACTGCCTCTCATGATGTCCCGCCTAGGCTCCGCCTTCGTCCGCGTGACGCTCACAGTCTGCGCCGCACGACCGAAGTGCACGTCGAGCGTCACAGGCCCCGCCCGTGGGGTGCGCCGGCGCGGTGTGAGCTCACCGACTCGGGCCATGGCGCTGGCAGGTGCACCCGAAGTGATCCGGGCGGCGCAGAAGGACGATTACTACCTGGGAGGCCTGCGGAGCGCGGCGGGGGGCGCGCTGCACAGCTTAGCGGGTGAGCGCCCCTGGCACCCAGACAGGTCGCAGCTCCGAAGCTCCTTAGAAAAGTGAGGATCAAAACAGACTTCGTGCAGAGCACTTTGCAGGTCTCTGCGCCGGGCAGTGCCTGGTTAGTGTTAAAACATTTGCCCGTTTATTTCTCATACGCCCCTACAGGTTGGACCTGATTATTACTCTTACAGGGAGGCACGTGGAGGTTTCCAGAAAGATTTCCCAGGCAGGGATTTGGGAGAGCCGAGATTTGATACTAAACAGGTGATCTCTGGCTTGTGTTCTTGGCACTATCTAGACTTTCCTGGGGCCTCCTAAGTCCTAGAACAGTTCCTGACTCAAGACAGTTACAGCTGAGAGGTTCTTAGGAAGTAGCCTTCCCTCGGAGTCATTCACGTTAACCAGGTGGAGAGAGGACAGGGCAGGGAAGCAGAGGAGCCTGAGAGAAAAAGTAGTTGAGGGTCGCCCTAGAAGAGAAGGGATGTGACCTGGACTTTAACGCCCCCCACACACCCGGGTGGGGGAGAGAATTTCAGTGAACCTACGTCACTTGCCCAGAGGTAACATTTTTCTCCTCTCAGGTGCAAAGAAATGGCTGGAATGGAGGAAAGAGATTGAGCTACTCTCCGATATAGCCTACTTTGGCCTCACCACAATTGCAGGTAGCAGTACTTAGCCAGTCTTTGGCAGCTCCTGGGATTCACCTGCTTGTAGCCTCAGGGAAGGAAAACACTGACCAGAGGGGAGGTGCTGCCCTAGATTCTCTCTAGAGGCTAGCCTAGCACTAGCTCTCAGCCAGGGGTCTCCTTGCATTTGTATATCCCTGAAGACTTCATCCAGAACCTTCTCAGGGGTGCTGTTGGGACCTATCCCCGGCCCAGAGCTGAGGACCCAACCCTGGGTCTTGGGCTTGCTAGACAAGGCAAGCTCTACCACTGAGATAAATCCCCAACCCCAGGACCCATTTCTCAGTGGCCAAAGGCAAGTCAGTCCTGACCCCTCACATACTGGCCATTAAACCTGCATGAGGTGGATGAAGAAAAGCTGATAGTCCTTGACAGAAAATTCATGGTAGGGGCCTCAGGTCACCAGTGCCAGCTCAACATCCAACAAGGAATGCAGAGCACCTGGGAAGACACCAGGAGAGATCACTGTGGATTACCTGCCCCAAAAGACTACACTCTGGGTGCGGGAGAAACAGCAGGAACCAAGTAACCACACTAAGACATCTGAAAAGTGTTGATCTCTTCGGGACAAAACACCAAGTCCCGGGGGAAAGCATATTTTCTGGTCAGACAAAGCAAGGAGCCAGTCACTGAAGACGCCTCTCTCAGGAAAAGTGCCTTTCCCTTTTATGAGGCATTGCCAGATACAAGGAGGCTAAGTGTAGACCACGACCAGACACGCTGGGGGCAGAGCTTGTTACAAACAGGGTCATAGACACGTGGAGAGCGTAGTTGAAGGTGCACCACAGGTTTGGCCTCAGGAATAAGAGGTCTGGCTGTGCCTTCTTCAGGGTGTAAGAAGACAAGGCTTTCCCAACCTGAACTGTAAGCTAGCTTTTGGCAGGGGCAGGCTTGAGGGTGCTTTATCTGATTCTGTGATACTGTCAAGTAAGCAGCTGACCTTACACCTCATACTTAGGACTGGACCAGATCCAGACTGAGCCATAACCTGGAAGCAGCCACAAGAATCTTGAACAGCGGGTGGGTAGGGGTTAGGCAGAGGAGGGACTTGGAAACTGGGAACAAATTAAGACTGAAGACAGCAGGAGCTGACCAGTGAAACAAGGACCTATCCCAGAGTGGCAATCTGTGTCACATCGTGAAATCACAGCTACACCACAGTGGGTTTAGTAAGAAGCCATGTTGATCTTGGCTAGGTCTCACAGGTTGACAGCCTGGAGGGCAGGTTCCAGGATGACTGACGATGTGGAGGGGGAGGGGTGTGACGTCCCTGTACTGGATCCTCATCATTGTGCATTGATCCCCAGGCTATCAGACGCTTGGAGAGGAGTATGTCGGAATCATTCAGGTGGACCCCTCCCAGCAGCGTGTGCCCTCCAGGCTGCGCCGTGGAGTGCTGGTTGCACTGCACGCTGTCTTGCCCTACCTCCTGGACAAAGCGCTGCTGCCCCTGGAGCAGGAGCTGCAAGCCGATGGTGACAGTACACGTCTGCCATCTGGAGGACGCAGCCGATCAGGGGCAAGGCGCTGGGTGCGTCACCATGCAGCCACCCTGACTGAACAGCAGAGGAGGACACTCCAGCGGGCAGTCTTTATCCTCAGACAGGGCCTTGCCTGCCTCCATCGGTTCCACGTTGCTTGGTTTTACATCCATGGTGCCTTCTACCACCTGGCCAAGAGGGCAGCGGGGATCCGTTATGTAAGTAGCACTGCCAAGGGGGACTGAATGTGGGCTGGGGTGTGCAGCCTCTTTGAGGCCCATGCTGATGGCATGACCACAGCCAAATGTTTCTGAGTTTGGGCAACAGCAGAGTTTATTCAGTTACAGTTTCCTAAGAGGCCCAGGGAAGTCCAGTTTCCACAAACTGAAAGTGGAGTAAATCCTTTCCTTCCTACAACCAGCATGTGCGGCAGCAGAGCCAGGCACTGAGTGGACTTGGGTTTAGCCCTACAGTAGTTTTCTCCCTACTGGCCTGTGGCTGCATCCATTTCACTGCTTAGGGGGATGAGTACCTATTCCAGAAGGTGTCAAGTGCAGGTTCTAGCCCAGAGCCTGGCCTTTCCCTTCCATCCCTGCCTATAACAGCCCTACCAGAAAGGCAAGGTCTTAGGGCTTGATCTACAAATATTCCTACGGTAGCCCACAGTAAGCATATCTCTCATCATAATCTGTAATAAACCCCCACCTCTTCACACCCTAACTTTCTACCAAGGCCCTTGCATCCTGTTAATCAGAAAACCTACCCTTGGGTATCACACCCATGCCCACCACCCAGCAGAGTTGCCATCTCTCCCTCCAGTGAAACTGCCCCTACCACGCCCCCTCATCATATAACCATGGTCTAGCCTCAGGATAACCTCGGTACTGCCAGACAAGGGGTTGTCCAGCAAACCCCCCCAAGCAATCATTTATTGGAGCAGCTGTGCCTCCCTTCCTAATGGCTACTGAATGTTGGATACTGGGTTTGCTGTAGGGCTTGCCATCCCGTTTTTCTGCTCCAGCCCAAGGCATAGCGTGCCCTGGTGTCTTCATCTCCCTGCCGGCAGGAAGGAGTACAGAGTAGAAGACCACAGTTCTTGTGGATGTGGATGGGAGTTACATCACCAGCTACAGCAGCGGCTAGGACAGTATCCGTGGCGGTCAAAGTGTCCCCAGAGGACGCAGTAAAGGGAACAGCATCTGCCTGTCGAGGTTCCCCTTGCTGTTCCCCACCCTACTCGTCCTCTGAAGTGGTCCCCAAACAGCTCCAGAATCTGTACCCATTTTCCTGGCCCATCTAGCCTCCTGGGCTCAGTTTGCATCTAATGCCTAAAGGTCAACCAGTAGCTAGGGTTCTCCCTCACTACAATACTTGAGCCCATCTCCCTGGTTGATTCTTGTTCTCTGGATACTCCCAGTGTCAAGGGTAGGCCTGGCTGAACATAAAACCTCCAGCAGACAAGAGGCCAGGTCCTAGGGGGATCCTGATGGCAGTGGGGTGGGTCACCTGTCTCAACAGCTCCGTGCTCGCCGCCTGGCTGGAGAGGACCTGAGGGTTCGCACAAGCTACAGACTGCTGGGTCTCATCTCCCTATTGCATCTGGCACTGTCCATGGGACTGCAGGTGTACAGCTTCAGGCAGAAGCAGCGAGCCAGGAAGGAGTGGAGGCTGCACCGCAACCTGTCCCACCGCAGGTGACTGGGTAACCTGTCCCACCGCAGGAGTACAGGGGCAACCTGTCCCACCGCAGGTGACAGGGGGTAACTGGTCCCACCGCAAGTGTGCAGGGGGTTGGAGGGACTTCAGCATGCTCTGAGATTGTGAACGGTGCACTTACCTAAGCTGTGTCCTCACCCCCACAGGAGTTCCCTGGAAGACAGGGCTGTTTGCAGAACCCCACTCTGCACCCTATGCTTGGAAGAACGAAGACACTCCACAGCTACACCTTGTGGCCATCTCTTCTGCTGGGAGTGCATTACTGAGTGGTGCAACACTAAGGTCTGTGCTCCCCGGTCTTCGAGCCCACCTCCCAGCCCTCTCCTGACTTGGGGATGGAGAGGTGGGCATCCCAGTCAGAAGGGAAACTCTCTTCTGAAGTTTGACTGAGTATGCAGGTGAATGGTAGATGACAGAGGCACAGATCAGGCCACACTTAACCACAGGTTTGTCTTGCTTCCTGGTACGCTCAGGACACTTAGGATGCTAGCACACACCAAGCTGTCCTGTGTGCCACTGAACCGTTTCCAGCAGACAGGTGCCCAAAACCACTGCTTCCTGTAAGCAGCAGGGCCCTGGCTGGCATGACTAGCCAGTGAGCTGCTGCCTGGCCAAAAGCCGAGGCTATAAGTGAGGAGGACTTTATGTGGCTGCAGTCCTGCTGGTAAGAGGTGGGCATCCTGGGCTACAGTACAAAAAACACAAGCGTTCACACTGCGAAGTCAGTCCACATAGTTGCCCAAGTGCCAGCATGTGTAAGTGTGGAATGTGCAGAGTCCTGTCTCTTTAGAGGAAGTACCAGGGTGCATCCAGAGCTGGCCTGGTGGAAGTTCTCCAAGGGAGACTAGAACAGCACACACACGTCTCTTACTGATGGGGTCTGAAGCCCTCCCCTCCACAGCTCTTGGCCCAAGGTTGCTGGGAAGCCATGGCAGAGGCTCAGTCAGAAGAAAAGCCCAGGAGAGGCCCCAGAAATCCAAGGTTCCTAGGTATTGAAGGAGGTGGGCACAGCTGTGCTCAATCAGCACCGTCCCATGCCCCTAGGATGCAGACCCTAGGAGAGGCTGTTTTCTGGCCGACTCACAGCTGTGCATGTGTATGGACCAGGAAGAGATATAGTGGGGATCAAGGCCAGATACAGTACACAGCCATTGTAACACACACCTCACCCCACAGACAGAGTGTCCCTTGTGCAGGGAGAAGTTCCCACCGCAGAAGCTGGTCTACCTGAGGCACTACCGCTGACCTGGACCAGATCGTCACCGAACAGCTCTGAGAAGTGGATGGAGGCTGACAGGGTCTATCAGAACTGTGGCTACACAGAAATATAAGTCCTCACGCACTGTTCTTTGTCATGTAAGCCACAGTTACCTGGGAAGAGAAAGGGCTCGGGGCAAATAGGCAATACTCCATAGGGGTAGGAGAGTTTGTTGCCCCTTACTTATTATGGCTTCTTCTGACCCTCTGGAGTAGTGGGTTCCCCCTCACTCCCCAGGACACACAGCTGAGAGCTGCTTCAAAAGTTCAGGGTATTGTGAGAGGCAGGGTTGAGGGTCAGGCTGGAGGTGAAGCCCTGCACTGTGGGCTCCACATCCACCGAGGTCAGTACCCTCCTAACATGCCTGCCCCATGCTTATTAATACTGTTGCCAACTCCTTAAGAAAACAGAGGTCTTCCTCTTGGCCTACTGGGTAGGAATGGGGCTCCCCGAGTTACAGATTTTTTTAAAAATTATATGAAGGTGCACACATGCCATGGTATATGTATGGAGATCAGAGAACAACTTGCAGGTGCTGATTTTTTTTTTTATCACATATTTCAGGGAGTAAACTCAAGTTGGGCATCTTGTTGAAACCTCGCCGACCTGGCAGAGTTGGCTTAGTGAGTTTTCTCTTATAAACCAATTTCTATTTTCCCAGCTCCCTCTTGACTTGTCCCTGGCTTGATTCTTGCCTCCATTTGACATTTCCAAGCTTTTAAAGTGAGTTTATGTCAGACAGCCTGGCACATCTTTGAGAAACTAATTCCACAGAAAAGCCACACTAAGAACACAAGATCTAGCCGAGCACAGTGGCGCACACCTTTAATCCCAGCAGTCAGGAGTCAGAGGCAGGTGGATCTCAGTGAGTTCAAGGCCAACCTGGTCTACAGAGCTAGTTCCAGGACAGCCAATGCTACACAGAAAAACCTTGTCCCGAAAAAACAAAAACAAAAACCCAGAAGATCTAGAAAGACCTCATAAAACCGTGTGAAGATGTCCTGATAGAACCCCAATCACCAGCAGTGGGGTTTGATGTCACAGGTTCCTTGTGGAAGTCCCCTTACCAAGAGCAGGAGCCAGACTTACATAGGGTAACTTTAGGGACCCTATGGGAAGACGGAGCACCCAACTTTCCATCACACCTGAGCTTAGTCACTGATGCGGAAAACAAAAACAAAAAATGTCCAGATTTGAACCCCAAGTACTCACATAGTTAGAAAGAAAAGAAAGACGCAGACGATTAGAAAGTGATGGGTTGAGTGTACAAAATGTGGCTCTAAAAGGAGCATCACAGGAACAAAAGGAACCCACAAGACGGACTTCTTCAGAAACACCACCGAGTAGGGTTCTGAACAGGCCACAGCCCCAGTCCTTCTGATCCCTGTGTTTCCTCTGTCCTGGTGGGACTGGCATCATGGTTCCCCTCCTCCAGCAGTGAATGACTAGTGGTGTAGACGAAGACTATACAAGCAAGGGAGGCTTTCTTTAATAAAGTTGGAATTTGAAAGTCACTTAGTAAAATGTTTAAAGAGTATTATTTTTTTATCACATCAAAAAGTTTGCCATGCGGAGGGCTTGTTTTCCCCATGTGAAGCCCCACAGCTGGTGCTCTGGCTGCTGCTGTCTCCTTAGGCTGTTGCATGAGAACAAGTTTGAATTCATCAAAAGGAAAATGTTACGTATCAAAGGAAAGTGTCAAAATAATCTCAAACAATTAAAATATAATATATATTTATAATTCCAGGCCTTCAAAAGCAATCATGGTAGTTAAGAACAAAGTTTCGAGTCATTATCATAGAGGCCAACTTGAAAACCATCTCTAGTGAGTGAGATTCAGAAACTGGCATGAGAACCCCACAAAGCTGCTGGAAATCACCCTCAAAGGGTTACATTCTTTTTCACATGTAGGAAGCAGGCTGGCATGTCCCTCTGGCGCAGAGGAGCGGCCTCAGCGTGGTCAGGAAGGCAAGGCTACACTCCCATCCTCCCTCCTGCTCTCTTGGGCTGCCACTCTCCTGGCCTCCCAAGCCTCCCGTTCACTACAATTCTGTTCACTTCAAACACATGAACATCACTGAAAAAGAATCAATGCAATTTGGTTTAAATGCCAGTTTCTTCAAGAACCTGATATATCAGATACAAATCATTGAGGCTCCTCTTAAAAAGAAAATTCAACTTCCTCATAATCAACTACTTTATGTGAAGAAAAAGGCATTGTTACAATGGCTCAAAACCGTCCTTGAACACGTGTGTCAGATTCAGTCCAGCTTCTAACTAGCAAATGTCTTGCCCACGTCCTCCTTCCCTTTGTATCTCCTCTTTCCGTGTGTGAATGGTATGTACCGGTATTTAATCATGTGCTGGGAAAACAAACACACAAACAAACTTGAGTTACTTCAAAACAGTTGCCTGCTTAACCCTTTCCCTAGATCTGCAGAGTCAAAGGCACCCCCTCGACTGTTTCTGCCTATCGGAACTGAAGTCAAGAAGCCAACAGTGTGCTCCATAGGACTTGACCCACTAGAGGCCTGCCTGAAATGCTAACATTTGGAAAGCATCTCATGAGCTCCTGGAATGAGCTAGGGAGAGCACAGAAGGGGTGTAGCTACACCACCAATCCAAGGATGTGCCATAACACTCTAAGCAGGTTACCACAGGACTCTGAGAGAGCCACTGAGGCACTGCAGGTCCAAGCTCAACCTGGCCCTACCCAGGGCTTTCTGACTCGGCTTTCAGCAACTGTTGAGGAAGGGCCCAGCTGCTCTCAGAGAAGCCAGAAGCCGAGCACAGGTCAGTCATGACACACAGAAGGCCATGCCCAGCACTCAGACCCAAGCTGCTTCCCCAGGGACACTGAGGCCGCGGGCTGGAGCCGTCGCCTGGCACAGCAGTGCTGCGATCTTTACCTTTATTTGCCTCTTCATTGTGATACAGAAAAGCATGATGAAGTACATCACCAGGATCGGCCAGAACACAGGGACATTGAAAGCCTCGAAGAAAGTGCAGACCATAGCCACAAGAATGCCTTTTGTAGCTGCATGCCTTAAAGCAAAGGGAGACATTAGTATGAGCTCTAGGTAGCACCAGACATCTGTCAACCCTTGACACTCCTGCCTTTGCCTGCTCAGAGGTACCTACTAGACATAGATCAAGTCAGTCTGTGTGTTTAATAACCAAAACCAAGTCCTCTCAGCCTTTTGAAAACTAAGACGTCTTTTTTTAAATATACTCTCTTTTTCACATTTTTATATATTTATTTTTATGTGCACATTTGTCTGTGTGAGGTGAGGATGTCAGATCCCCTGGAACTGGGATTATAGACAGTTGTAAGTTGCCATGTGGGTGCTGGGAATTGAACCCAGGTCCTCTGGAAGAACAGCCAGTGCTCTTAATCACCAATCCATCTCTCTAGCCCCCAAGCTAAGACTTCTTAAACATACAAAGTGTAAAACACCCCAGCTAAAGCCAAATACACCTCGTGTTTGCTACTACAACTGTCATCTGGAGAAGAGCCTAGGCCCTGGGCCTGACACTGGGTGCCTGAGTCCAGCACACAGCCCTGCCACCATCACACACCTCGACCCAGCCTCTGTGATACTGACCCACACACCCACCCACCCACACACACACACACACACACACACACACACACACAAGCTCCTTTTTTCCTACAGAACAACATCCAGGCTCCTGGGGCGTCTTGCCCACCTTCTATTTCCTCTCCCAGATCCACAGAGCTGCACAGTTAAAACACTCAAAGAACTCAGTCTGCTCCTTTGGCTCCTTTTGCAGTCCAGGAGCAGATGGTCTCAAAGACAGGCCAGCAGGCCATACATAGCTTTGACCTTTTGACAGAAGGTCATTAAAGGAGCTACACTGTACCTACTCATATGTGTTCCCATCAATCTCTTCCTAGTCTCCCAGCACTTCCAGGATGTCGGCTCTGTGGAAGGCCTAACCTTCCCAGGGTGCCTTGAGTCAATAGCAGTGCCTACAGGAGGTCCGGAACCTGGAAACCAGCTGTTAAGACCCACTAGACTACTGCGCCAACCCAAGGGGAAACACTGTGAAGTGATGGTCTTCCCAGAGAGCCCTGTGACCCACCCATACCCAACACAGCTGTTACTTTTTAGATTAATGCATACCACATGCAAGCAAAACAAAATTCTCATTTTGTTAAAGAAACCAAAAGCTAACTGGGACAAAAATTGGTCTACTCTAATAGCTCAAGTATCTTCCATAAAAGCCTTGAAGAAATAAAGGCATGACTGGTCAGGAGAAGTGACTTCCATGTGTAGCCAGGAGGGTAAGCAGTGGGCAACAAATCTGGACTTACTTCAAAATACCTAACCCTGACCATTACACAATGTATGTGTACCAAAAATGTCATTCCATAGCCTCCACATATAGACAATTACTGTTTGTTAAAATAAGATACAGAGATAGATGGATATATTCTATTGTCCAATGGAAAACAATTCACTCACCAAAATTTGAATTCTGGAAGTCTTCGAATGAAGGGACGAAACTCCTCATTCTGTTTGGTTGGTAATGAAGGGCCGTCATCTGAAAATTACAACATCAGCTAGAGATGAAACATCTGCCTCTTACCTTCAGATTTCTGCCCCATTTACAAGTCTTCCCTAAATGCTTCTAAACTACTGTGTCTCACACATGGCAACAAATTTCAATCAACCAGAGAAAAAGTATGGGGTCTGCAGGCAACTCCTGGAGAGACAACCAACAAACAAAAATACACTTCACACAGACTTTTCATTTGTTTTGCTATCTAGTTACATAAATTAGGACAAAGACAAACTGACATGCTCATAAAACAAGTAGTGAAGAAAGAATGCAGGCCATCTAGTGGTTCATGACATAAAATCCATTCCCACAGTAAAGTAAGAAGTGACACTGAGCTGACTCAGCGAACAGAGACACTTGGCTGCCAGGACAGACAATCCCTGGAACCCTCATGGTATGACAGAACCAAATCCTGCAAGTCCTCTGACTTCCACATGTGACATACACACTTAATAAATAAATGAAAAGCTGGGGAGTGATGTTGCATACCTTTAATTCCAGTACTCAGGAGGCAGAGGCAGGTAGATCTCTGAGTTCAAGGCCAGAGCAAGTTCTAGGACAGTCAGGGCTACACAGAAAAATCCTGTCTCTAAAAACAAAAAAGAAAAACAAGGGGGTGGGGGAAGAAATGCAGGCAAGCCTGTCCTTGTCCACAAACCTATGGAGGAGAGCCCATGTAGGTATGCACCAGGACGACCAGATGCAAGGCCTCTTCTCATCTATCCTACTGACAGACAGAGAAGCTGAAATCCACAGGAAATGCCCCTGGTTATCAAAGCTTCTAATCATCCAATCTGAAATCAGCTCTGAGCATTTCCCCCGAGAAAGCAAAGTGTCTGCAAAGGCCACTGTTCAGCCACAACCCAAAGCTGGCCTCAGTTGAGCACAACAACACACCAAGATCCCAACCCAGAAACCAGGGAGCACCCAATGCCCCAGTCTGGACTTAGCTCCTGGCAACCAGGGTCCTACTGATCTGTACTGCATTCCTGCTGTGTACCGCTCCTGTTTTCTCTGGTCACACCAGAGGGTGCCTAACAGTGAATTCTGAGGCAGGAAGCAGAGGAGCTGCCTGCTTATGTGTCCCATGCTTGCAGTGTGGCTTTGGATGAGTTATTTATTTAACCCCAGTGCTTTAGTTTCCTCCTAAACAAAATGGGGATTAAAGAATGATCCTTTTCACAGCTGCACAGGGTTTAATGGGTAATCCTACAGACAAACTCATTCTGATCCAGACATTACAGCACATATAAATAGCACAAGCCCAGGTCCAAGTGTTCCCAGACCCATGGATTATCCCAGGAGAATGTAGATGCATAGAGCAGCCTGGACAGCGCCCCAGCGGCCCCTGCTGTACCTGAGTCTTCCATCAAGGAAGGATCCACTTTGGGAGAAAGGAACGCTATGAAAAGGTTTAGGTGGTAAATCCCCAAGGCATAGGTCACAATGTACCAACCCTGGAAGAGAAGGAAAGCCATCATCAATGCGCAGCCCAGCCACCACCAGCTGGAACCAGTTCACTGAACCCCCATACCCATGAAGCTCTGCTGCACTAGGAATGTGGTTTACTCAAGATGAAGTGGGTAAGGACTGATGAATGCTCCACGGTGACCATTTACCTCAACTTACCTTGTAGGTTTGATATGACCACGGCAACCTGTGGCCCAGAAAACAAACTTCTTTAAAGGTTCAGGCAAATGTGCATGACAGTCAGGCACAGTCCTGACCAGAGCTGGTTACAGCAGAAGAAAAAGCTTTCCTCAACAGACACTGCCTTGCCCATAGGGCTAATGTGGGCTGGGCGCCTAGCCTCAAAACCTGCTGGAAGCACACAGGTTCACAAGGAGTCTACAACAGAATGTCAATGTTACTACACACTTGACAGCTGGCAGTCCTTTGCAGACAGCATCAAAATACTTCACTTGGAAAGTTAGCCTCACAGAAGAAAAAAAAAAAAAACAGAACCAGAACCAGAACCAGGAAATCAAGAGAAACGTGTATACATTCATTCTTTCCTTCCTTCCTTCCTTTTTTGGTTTTTCAAGGCAGAATTTCTCTGTACAGCCCTGGCTGTCCTGAACCTCACTCTGCAGACCAGGCTGGCCTTGAACTCACTGAGATCTGCCTACTTCTGCCTCAGGAGTGCTGGGATTAAAGGCCTGCACTACCACCCCAGGCAAAAAATCAAGAGTAAACTTTTCAAGCCCAACTCTCCAGAGAAGACAAAGAACTGGGAATCCCTGTAGTCCCAACATTAGCACACGAAAGCATCAAGCTTACTGTAGTTGATTTCCAGAACTAAACCATACACCTTAAAGGCGTATGTTTTTGTTTCATACAAACAAAAAGAAATTTTCTGCCTAAAAAAATTTTCAAGTCGGACAACTAAAAACTAGATGTAAAAGTCAGTTTTATGCACACATACTATCATGTTGCAAAGCCAAGCTATGAGGAATGCCAAGTCAGGCACAAATCTGATCCAGAA